AACGGTTTACCGTATCAAAGTTCTGCTTTCAGCGAAGGGATGATTTCGGGACTTACATCGACGGTGTCACCCAGGCTGGCATCTTATTTGTGGCACTTCCTGCTGCTGCTGCTGCTGCTGATAATGATGATGTTGATGGTGTTTGCACAATTGCATACGGATCATTCATTTCTGGTCTTCTCATGTAATCTGGTGCAGTGTTTTGTGAAGATAACTTTTTCGCAAGATCGCTACAAGTAATTAAAAACTTAAAAAATATTTTTTCAATCAATCACTAAAAATTTAGCTATTCTTGCAGTATTTTTACTTACTACTAAACTGCTATTAATAATGTCCTTCGCAAATTTTGAATAACTTATGAATAATTCCGAACTTGATAGCAAAAACCAAAAGTGAAAGTAATTTTTTTTTGAACCGAATTCCTTTTCGGAATGAGTGAAACTTTTTAAAGATGACTGAAAATCAGGACAAGATAAATTACAAAATAAAATCGGAAGAACTACGCGAGAAAAAGGAATAAGATTTGTAAGTGCTTTTAAAAAAATGATGAAGAACAAAACATTTGTAGATTAGAATTGGAATTCTAAGAAGTGCCTAAAATCATAAAATTATGAAATCTACCTAATAAAGAACAGAGAATGAATATAAGTATCGCACTGTTTGAATAAAAGATGAAGTAAATGTAAACATGAAATTAATAATCAAAAATGAAAATCTGAAAAACTTACTCAATAACTTTTTGTTGACGTAAAATATGCTCTTGCAAATCCATTTCTTTTCTCCGTTCCATAGCACCACTCACTAAAAGTGATGAATAAACTAAAATAAAGAAAAATATACATATAATAACTTATGTATTTCATCTTTCCGTATTATTAAATAAGGATAATTTGTAAGTGATCATTACCTATTAAGAAATGATGAAGCGTCTGATCATAAACGGATACTGTATTGCACGGACCCAAGTTGAACTTTGAACCTCCGAATCACTCTGATTTTTGATTAAAATTTTTTGCTAATAAGTCAAAATAACTTCTACTTAAAAAAGAAAAAACACAAAAAACCAGCATTACATGGAACAGTGGGACGTGACAAAGGTGGAGCCACATCCGGTACGGCAACGTCCATCACGGGCAATTTGCCCGGTGGTTTCCTTCGCCTGGCATCTGCGTAACCATACGAATCAAAACCAGGGCCGTATGGATATGGAGCTGGCTGTGGTGGACGTCTCCAACTGAAAATGACACTGACTCTTAAGTTTGCCTGCTTAGCAAACAACAATGTCAAAAAGCAGAGATGACAGCAACCTTTGATATACAAAGGCACTTTACTTCCCCTTTTCCCCAAGGTAAGTGATCGAATGAATCCGTAGGTAAGACATGTACTTATACTTCTCATAAAAATTAAGAGAAGCATGACACGTAAGATACAAAGCAGTTTTTTTTTTTTTCGTTAAATAAAAAGCCGTACGGTTCTACTCTGTAGCCTCCTCCGTACCGCGGTGGAGCTGGTGGCATTGAATACGATGGAATTGATCGAAATGAATCAGATCGACTGTATCGTCGTCTTCTATACCTACCTGCTCTATAAAAAAAAGAACTTTTCTCAAAAAACTAGTGAAGAAACAACTGCTTGTGGTTAACAAGGACTGAAAATGTGCAAAATTCTGAAAACATCAAAATTTCTCTTAAATCCGACAAAGATTTCCTCTATTAACAGTATACAATAATCTCCAATTCTTTTTTGTCTGATAAGTAAATTACGCATTTGCATTACGTAAATTTCTTAATATCTTAATAATTAACCTCCGCCGTTTTCGAGATGGCCCACTACCATCATCCTCTGTTATTCTTTTCGCATCACCGGAAGATTGATTTTTTTTTGGAAACGTTGGTTTCGACTGCAGATTTCTCAGTCCAACATTTTTCTCAGCCGGCTTAATGCTCTCGCAACCATGTGCAACACTACATTCAGTATTAGTACTACCACCACTTTCGATAATATCCGTTTCTAATGTACGCTTTCGATCCTGCACCGTTTTTGTAGTATCATTTCGGATATGCTTTGCTTCCATTGTTGCTGATGCTTTCGATAATTTTTCATGTTCCTGCTCAATCTTTTTGGATTGTGTGTATGAGATGAATTCTTTATAGGTTAATAAACAATACATATCGGTTTCCGGTGTTGGTACAATAAGACGATCCCAACCATGGAAATCCACTGAAATCTTTTTTTTTTTTTTAAATGGAAAAAATTCACCTTAGGAAAAAAACCTTTTAAGAAAAGTAAAATTTAAGACAGAGATTATAAGAAGATTATAGTAGATCATTTCAGTTAGAAACACGTCATTCTAATTCATAAAGGAAACTAAACATTTCCAAGATACCAGGAAATGAAGTAATGCTAAGTTGTGAAGTTATATAAAATTGATAGCAATAAATGATTTGAGAAATAACTTCTAGTTCTACAAATTGAAGCAGAAATCTATTATTATATCAATATGTTACCTTTGTAACGATGTGGTAATCAATAAAGATAAATATAACTGTCAAGCCTAATCAAAACGTTATATGTTACATAAAAGCAGCCATGTCTCGCATCATGAATAACTTACCATTCGGGAAATATACTTTGATATAATTACTCGGCACATTTCGTGCACCGACATGAATAAAATCATTATTAGAATGAGCCGCTACAGCTTCCCGAGCAGTTGGGAACAATAAAATTGCCATACGCTGCCTATAAATTTTATGTTCGAAGAATTGAAACTTCTAAATATAATTTTGTATGCTTCGGTTGCATCTTAGATTGCTAAGTAAGATAAAAATAGATTGCCAACTTAGCTGATTAAAATTTCTGTAAAAACAACAAAGTGTTACCTTACTTTGTCCGCCTCAAAGGTAAACTGCATTAATTTGAAAAAAAAAAAAGCTGAAATTCAAAATTGTATGAATTTTTACACTTACCCTAACATATCTCTTTCAAAACGTATACTCTCGATTGGATAATTTTTAAAACAAGTTTCACGAATTTGCTTCTCCGTTACTTCGCTATTTACAGGTTTCACGATCAAATAACGCATACTTTCCATAGGTTCTCGCATTCGACCCAAACGACTTTCCAGTATTTCCTTGTATTTTCGTACCCATTTTGCTAAATTTGTAACATTCTGTAGGAAAGAAAACTTTATAAAGGAGAAAATGAAAATGAAATGTGCTGGGCAAACAAAATTTAATGAAGCTCACATAGAGTTAGACAAACAAAAAAAACATCCCAATTCTACTGAAAGAAAAGAAGTACCATTACCGGAACTGTAGATATATTACCCTATAATCTAGACAGCAGACATTGGAGAGATTTAACCGTTTCCTTGCAATATTAACATCGAGAATAAAAGGCAAAAATGTGAAAATTAGTGAAGTAAAACTATTGGGGAGGGGGAACGGGGAGGACGGGAGGCAGGACCCACATTGATGTAAACATGAATAAAAGAAAAAAAAAAAACATAAATAAACATAAAACAAGAAGTTTGCAACAAAATTTTCTCTGCTTTCAGAAAACAAAAAAATAGAACCTTACTTTGCGGCAAATAGATTTTCACCCGATGTGCACCAGTTCGTATATGAATGAGGTTGTTTACAGCACAGTATGCAATAGGATGATCACTTTGGAAATATGCTTCAATTCGTCTGGAATAAACATCACAGGATATTAACAAAACTAGAATACTGTTGCATTTCTGAAAGAGATTTATTTTTAAAATCAATCATTATGCAGTGAAATTCTCAGAAACAACACCTACCCATATAAATGGTTAAAATCTGCATCAATTTTCCCAGCTGAGAGCGGGAATTCCATAATAACTCGTTTACAGCGAAGAAGTGCAGTGTAAAACCAAGGATTGTGCATATCTGCTGGTAAAACATTTTCAAAAATTACCACACGTCTATCTGATTCATCCTTGCACACTGCAAAAGTTTTATCCAATGAAAAATTGAAGTAAACTGGGTGTAAGGATTGGGAATTTCTAGATGATTTCTAGATATCACATCCTTCGACCAGTATAACAATAAATCTACAGTGAAGAAATCAGGTTAATATTACTTTATGCTAAAAAACTTTAAAAAAAAAATTCACCAACTAATGGACGAAGTAAAACAATGAAATTCTTCGAAAAGCTCCATTAGTTACAATATTGAGTAGCAAATGATCAGACAAAGGAATGACGCTTATGTTACAAGTAGTGTGAAACTTACGCCTCCATTGAAATTCTGGAGCACCATCCCAATCAACCGGAAGTGTTTTATAATATTCCGCCATAATCATTTTGTTGGTTAATTTATCAGGACCCGTTTCTTCACCCAAACTTCTCACTGTTATATTTTTTAAACTTTCCACTACAGCAAGAACAATTTCAACGTCCGTTTCATCAGTGACATTTGCAGCTGTTCTTTCTTTATTTTCTGAAAAATATGAAAAGTGTCAACGACATTTGCCAAACAAATTATTTCACCTTTTTTATTTGTGAAATTCAAACATTTTCGGGTGAAATTAAAATTTTATTTATCAAAAGTTTAAGGATTATTGCAAAATGAACAGAAACAAAAACAATTCTTTTATCCAGCTAGAAAACATAATCCCAAGTTTTAAAAGTAAGTTAATTTCCTTCAATAATTTAAATCGAAAACATTCACTTTTACTAATTAATGTGCCAGTCTTTTGGGAATCATTTTTTGAAAAAGAGAAAAAAGTTTGACAGTTCACTTCCTTCAGATGTTTACTCCCAGAATTTATAAAACAGAAAAGTGATTCAAACATTTGTGATTATCTTTCGCAATGGCTAAGAATATATCCTTTAATGCAAGTGCAAGTGTATACACATGAATCTCTATAAACATATTCCCTAACCTTAGCAGCTTTGCAAAACATGCAGTGATAATTACAGAATGATCAGAAATGACAAAGACATATCCGGTCCGTATTAGGAACGGTAATGCTCAATGGCTTCTTAACTTCAGCAAGCAAAGTAAGAGGCCAACCGTTTTTCCGTCTTTGCCGACTATCGGTCTCGATGCATCACCACATGCAACAGCGACATTATCTTGCTCTGATGCCATAGGAGCTACTGGAATAATCGGTACATCAGTACTTACAACATTCTGAGCTCCGATATCGGCATCAACAGCAACAGTATCAGTCGGATTACTGTTACATTCATCAGCCATTTCAAAATTTGTCGGAGCTGCTACTGCTTCGAATTCTGCTTCACCGCTCAACTCTTTCGGAGGTTCAGTGATTGCATCAACCGTTGTTGGCGGGTCAAGCTGATTTTTTTGCGAGATAACACGATCTCGATGCACTCGTGAATAGAATGAAACCAAACACTTCACACCAAGCTCCTGAAGTGATTGATTAGGTTACGGTGGAGTGGTAACCCGGAAGAAACAGAGTACACGCGAGGAATCAAGATGCCTCCAACATGTGACTGTAACGTCAGAGACATGTTCGACATGCTGATAGAGTGTAAAATTGTTTATGAAAGAATCGGAAAACGTGGAGAAATACTGACCCAGTGCAATTCAATTATGCTCTAATTGTAATAGCGAATTATGCAATGAGTAACAAAGTCTTAAAGAGCCTCTAATCATACAAGAAATAAATGAGTAAATTAATCATTAGATTTGACTAATCAATGAATAATGCCAAAAAGAAAGCAACTTAGGCTTAGAAAACAATGCAACAACTCAGACTTAGATATGAAATCTTTTGTAAAAGAATTTTCCTACCCTTCCGATCTTTAACCAATAAAGTGGATTTATCTCTACCAAAATGGAAAATTAAATACAGAAGAAAGAATGAAAATATAACAAATTCTACTTAAATGTATAGAATAGATCAAGTCAACTACGTAAGTTAAAAATACGGCAGCAATTATCACCATTCTGATATAAAATAAATCTTAGTAAAGTTACACATCCACAAAAACCTAGTAAGTTATCTAATTTTTTATTGAATAGTGCGAAAATTTCAGTGGCTCATAGGTTCATATATCAAAAATAAAAAAGACTTTTGTTCGGTCATAGACCTCCTTATCATAATACGACAATAAGATCATGACCTGCTAAGGCATAATATATTCGAGAAAATCCCGCCACAAATCTTCTAATCATACAGTTGAGCATTCCATTCATGTAAAAAAAGTGAAAACACTTTACAAACATACAGCAATGATTTCGATAGTGCAAGAGCTAACATAAAATGCCCATTAAAACTATGTTCATAGAATATGCGATCTCTCTTCACCAGGATAGACCATTCACGCAGTTGCTATCAACAACTATACACACTGACACATACGCAATACATATAAGTTGGAAACGTATGAAGACTATATCTGACTGATGTTCAAAAACGCCAATCATCAACTAAACTCGTTTAACCGAAGAATGTTAATGATGATTTTATGCCTGATGCCTTGTAAATCCACGTGTGTTTTGTTGTTACATTATAACTTATAGTACGTAAAAGAGTTCAAAGTACATACATGTCCGCTAATTTGATGATATCAATACCTATAAAAAGTAAGAAATCATCCGAGCTTGCAAAACACTGTGATAACTATCATAAAATACCCATTAAAAATTGTGGTCATAGAATATACGATCTCTCTTCACCAGGATTAATAGAGATCTTTTCTTGTCAATCTCATTTTTGGTAAGTGAAAAATGAGTAACCTGATTTGGAATACTCTCAATCAATGGGTAACGAATAATACGGTCGATGACGTCATTTCCAAGATTAAATTTCAAATTGATCAAGCGAAAAATTGTTTGATTAAATTGCTCTTGTGATTCAAATTGCAGTTTAATTGGTAAGGTGCTGATAATGACCACTCGGTTGAAATCCAACTTTTCCGTTTTTGCACCATATGTTGTTAATTCATCCATCATCGCCTTGGTTTTTACAACTGCAATTTATGTCACTTTTTAAATTTTGAAAAGACACATGCTACATTTTTCAGCGAAACATTACAAAAATTTTGCATGATTTCAATGCAGAAGAAGTGATATTATGATGTGATTTTCCCGTAACAAATATGAAAACCATCTTTTTGTATATAAAATCAATATATAAATCATATTTTCATTAAAGTGATGAAACCGTTACCAATTCGGTTAAAAAAAGGAAATGCAACAGACTCCCACAAAATTAAAGCAAACACTCAAACGCAGCGCCTGCACGCCTCGCATTTAGCTAAATCTTGAAGTCATTCCGACCAAACCGGAACAACAATTCGGCCATACGTAATCGCTGCGAAATCTTCATATCCCACGTGGGTATTACAATGAGAAATATAGTTGTAATATAATGGTAATTATGTAATTATATTGCAAGTAATATGGTATAATGTTGTAATAATGGTAATATAATTATATTACGGTGATAATACTGCTACGATAACACATAATTATATAGCCAAAATAATATTGCAATATCACAATTATGATTATAATTTCACTATAATAATAGTACAATCTTTTACTTTTGACAAGCATAACTTGAATAAACTGTCACATTGTCACTTCGATTTTTCCACTTCAAAAAGATGACTAAATAATTGGATGGAATTTCGAACATAAGTTTGAGATATTGCTCAATTTGAGGCATGGTTCAATCGTTTAGTCATCCAAAGTTACGAGTTTATTTGCTGTTAGCCATATTATACTCAATTAATACACTCAATTAGAGCTGTAAAGTGTAATACAGTAATTTGTTATTAAATGATATTTCACCTCATTTATTCGTTTTTTTTTCAAAAGCACTTGAAATCATTTCAAAAATTCTAAAAAACTTCATAAACTGTGGATCGAAGAAGTAACCAGAAAAAGTTTAGAAGATTGTGATTAGTTCTTATTTAGAGTAAAATTATTATCACAAAAAGTTTTTTTTTTTTTTCCATCCTAATCATAAGCGGCATACGGCAGTCTACAGTACCCCTTCTTTCTTGAAGCATACGGTAGTCTACAGTACCTCTTCTTCTTTTCTTGAGACATACGGTAGGGTGTCTACAGTACCATCCCTTCTTCTCTTTCTTAGAGCATACGGTAGGCAATCTATTGCGCGACTTGCAATATTAAGCAATAAGAAGAATCCATTATCTGCAGAAATTGCAGGACTTTGGATATCATAAAAACTTGTTATATTATTTCAAAAGGTTCTATGTTATTCAATTCAATAACAGAATTAAAAGAGTTACAAGTAAAAACTTGGGTAATCCACATAATAGCCTGAAATTAGCTAACTGATTTCTTATTTCTAGCTATTATCAAATTAATTTCTAATCTTCAATTAACTCACTGCATAAGATTATTTAATACATCGTAAACCACTTGACCATTATTTTTAATTAAACTTTTCTCTAAACAATTGACAAATAATTAAAAAAAAAAAAAGAGAGTGTGAAGAAATTTTAAAAAATTGATGACTATTCTTCAATATAATTCTTCATTTCACTAAATTTGTTAATATTAATTTTCTTTTTCGTAGTATTTGTTAACTGTTTAATGTTTAATTTTAATTATTTATCAGAAAAGTTTTGAAATTTCTTATGAAAGTATTAGGACGAAAAAAGAGTCATAAATAATTTTAGCTCTGCGATTTTAATTTGAAACTGAAATTGTGATTGAAATTTAAAATGCACAACCGTGTTAGCTTTTATTCATTCAATCAATTTATGAATATTAAATAATAGCACAAATTGCTTGTAATTTCTGGAATAATTACTTCTTACTCTAAAAAATTTGAAAGCTTGGAATGAAATATTCTGAGTTTGTTTAAAACAAAATAAAATTTTCAGTCATTTAAATGAAACTTTCTATAAATTTGTTAAATCCTGTTTTTGGTGGCTGCGGATTCATTGAAATTTCTCCATATCGATGATAAAGATATGCCCAGCAGAATGAAATTGTTGCTTCCTAAATTAATGATATTAAAATTTTAATAATTTTAAAGTTTGTAACGAATGTATTAGGGTCAATTTAATAGAAATTAAAGATACCAGGTATTGCAGTATCAGTAAGACTTTAATTTTTTTTTTTTAAAGTTTGATTTGAATTGTTAAAAATTCAACTTTAGAAGTCTGGTGATTTGAATTTATCAGGAATTATTTTACACTTACTCGATTTTGAGTACAAAATCAGATATATTATCACATAAATCTGGCGCATATTTGAAAATATCTTTTTCAGTATAATTACGACAAATCATACCAGCTACTTCAACCAAACATTTTACAAAAATAAGCTAAAATGAAAATTAATTTGAAATTTTGGATGAAATTTAAACATGAATAATTCAACAGATCATAGCTAATCATTTAGATTGTTATTCAGAGAAATTTTAATTCAATACAACATTTTATTTTATACCATAAGTTAAAATTAAAAGCTAAGAAACAGATTATTTTCAAGATAACAGTTGTTTAATTCTTTTTAAAAAATATGTAAATTAATTTTACATAATTAATTTTACAACGATCATTTGAAGATTTATTTAGATTAAGCATTTATTAACGATGAAATTTTTATGAATTCAAAAAGTTATATTTGAAATCTGAGACAAACTCATTTTATTTAATAAAATGAGAAATATTTGATACCATTTGAAATATTTTGAACTCATCTATCTGATTTTTTTGCTAAATTAAAATTATTTGATAAATTTTATTTGTATTTATAATTTAACTAACTTTGATACTAATAACTTACTCACAAAGACCATCAATTTGTGGCCACATCGATGTATAAGCATCACATGCAGCAACGGATGATTTACAACTTTCATCATTTTGTCGTTCACGAATTAAATATGCCTGTAGATATTAACAAAATTATTATATTTAAGTTGAAATATTAAATTTGAAATTTATTGAAATTCAATTTTTTTTTCTTCAAACTTTTAAAATACATTCATTTTAGTGTATTCTAATGAATAAAAAATTTTAAAAAGAATTTCATTCTTTTTCTTTGTTTCTTATCGGTTAGCCTGTAGATATTAATAAATTATTATATTTAAATTGAAATATTAAATTTGAAATTTATTGAAATTCAATTTTTTTTTCTTCAAACTTTTAAAATACATTCATTTTAGTGTATTCTAATGAATAAAAAATTTTAAAAAATTTCATTTTTCTTTGTTTCTTATCGGTTAGCCTGTAGATATTAATAAATTATTATATTTAAATTGAAATATTAAATTTGAAATTTATTGAAATTCAATTTTTTTTTCTTCAAACTTTTAAAATACATTCATTTTAGTGTATTCTAATGAATAAAAAATTACTAAATAAAAAAAAAAATTTTAAAAAGAATTTCACTTTTTTTTTTTTTTTTGTTTCTTATAGATTAAATTTCCATTGTAATTGTTAAAGATTGGTAATAATTAGTGAAATTTTGTAATTAGTAAAAAAAAAAATTTTTTTTGTTTATAAAAAATAATTTTGTTAAATATTAAAATGCATTTAATTTTCATGGTGAAATATAAATGCTAAAACCATTTGACTAGCTGAATTATATGCCATTTCTTCGGCAGATGGATGATCATCAATTCGATTTGATATATCCAACCATTCATCTAATTAAAATAGAATAAATATTTCCATTTAATTATAAATTAATAAATTATTAAATACGACAAGCATTTAGGATTGAAAAAAATTAAAATTAATTAATGAACAAAAAAGCATTCATAAAGAGATTTTTGGATTTTTGAATTTCTTTTTTTTTTTCTACAAAAATTTTTACACTGAAACTTTTTAATTGCTATTTAGATATAAGAAAATATAATCTATTCTTTTTTTTTTGAAAAAATTAGAGTGTTATTTTAGAAAGTGTAAACTAATTGAAATTGAAATTTTTTAGTTTCAAAAGAAATATAATAATTTGCAAGTTAAAGGAAACAAAAAAGAGAGAACCAAATATTAGAATAATAATAGTTATGAAAATATATTTTTTGAAAATAAAAATTTTTTTTTAGGAACTCATTAATCTAACTTTATTAAAAAAATATATATAATTACAATATATAATTATATATAATTAATTTTTTTTTAATTACAATTTTTTTTTGTATATAAATACAATTTCATTGCCTAAAATTCACTGTGTACTCAAATGATAATACAATTAAAGCGAGATTCTCGAGAAAATTTATGCAAACTTAAGAAAGTATTACTTGTTACTTTGTATGAATCAACTCATACAATATTATTTTGACAATTTTGATCTTTTTGTTATGCAAATTTCATTTATTACCTGGTATATATTATCAGTATTATCATCAGAAAATATTTATTAACCAATCTTATTCATTTCTATTATTTGTTGAATTTGAAATTTTTTTTTTTTTCTTAAATATAAAATTTACCTCTAATTGGAAATAAACCATCCTCTCCGGTATTATTTAAAATATCCGGTTGTTGATGAACAAGAAACATTGATCCTGATTTTGCCTGATCCATTTTGAGCGCACTTTTTATACCCATTTTGAGTGCATTTCTCATTTCCAAATTTGTTGTTGTATTTTTCTCGCCTTGATATATAATTATAACAAATTCTCGAGGAAAATCAAAATAATTATAACAAATTCTCGAGGAAAATCTTGATGTTATTGAGAATTCTTATATTTTGATTTAACTTTAATTTTGCTACCATTTTTTTTTTCATACCTTTTTTAAATACACATTTTCGTTTTATTGAATCAGATTTTTTCTTTGAAATTGTCGTTACTGATTTTTTCATCCATTTGCATTTTGATCGTTTCATCGATTTACAATTAATTAATTCTATTAATATCGCACTAACTAAGACTGAAAAATTTGTTTAAAAATGAACAGAAATGATTAATTTATTAGTTAAATTTAATTTAAATGAAAATATACAATAAAGAACAAAAAAAAAGAAAAATTGAAATATTTAAAAATAATTTAAAATCATTTTGCTATCAAATTATTGTTCACTTACCAATAAAATAAATTTTTAGCACATGCATTAATGAAACAAAATTAAGAAATTTAAAAAAGTATTTTGTTAGATACAACCGAATCAATTCTGTTTAATTAAACAATAATTAGAAATTGCATTTTCAAACTTATATAAATTTTAATAAATTTTAATCAATATAACTTTTTCCTTTTACAATCAATTTTATGCTAATTTTTTTTTTCAGATTTTCTAAACAGCGCTTTTTAACTATTTGAGATTTTAAAATTGAAAAAAAAAAATGAAACAGTTCTGAAATACAATCGAAGGTATATTTTAGTATAATGCACTTATCAATGAGTAAATCCAGGTACAAAAGTCTTCGAAGACTAAATTTTTCATTTATGATCAAATTATCAATTTAAAATTTGGTTCAGATCAAATTATTGATAACTTAAGATATATGATGTCCACAATCATAATTGAAATTTTATTTAGAAAATGGTACTAATTAATCGGAATTAATAAAATTTGAGAAATTACAATTTTTGCTAATTTTACATTAGCTATTATCACCAATTTCAATTATAAATTATATTATAGTACAGTACAAAATCAATTTTATTCTAATTTTCAATACTATCAATTTTTTTCTTCAATTAAACAACGTTTGTTTATACTTTAGAAGAATTTATTTTGTTATGTTAATAATATAATTAATCAAATAACTATTAAAATAACTTTAATTGCTATTATCAAAGCAAAAATGAAAATATATTTTTAATTTCAAATTGATTTATTAATTATTTACAGTAATTGATACTATTTTATCTCTCATTCACCGATATTTTGTGCTAATTTTAATTAAAATACATTTGATCTATAATCGATTACTTCCCTTTTATCATTATCAATCATTTCTAAACCGTTTATATCTCAATTTTTTATCTCTTCCTGAGCAACTGATAATATCATATTACTTTACTGATAATGTAGTCATCAACAAGTGTTGATATCTTATATGCAAAGTTTAGAAAAGCTAAGGTCAGAGTTCATTGTCAATTGTGAAAATATAAATTATTAATATTATAATTAAGTATCTTTCATTAACTTGAATTTCTTGTCATTAATCAAATATATCGATGTGTTTTAATTAAAATTTTCATTTCAATTGAAATTGTTTATTTTAAATCAAAGATAGCAAAAAAGCAGCGATTTAAATTAAAAATGAATAAATTAGAATTTCAATATGTATCAACTTTGTCTCTCAAATAACAATCAGTAATCAAAGGTACGAGAAATCATTGGTAGTAAAATTGTTTATTAGCAAAATTTTGTTATCAATTAGTTATTCATTTAACATTTGCTCTTTTCCATTAGATCAGTGTTTCAATTTCTATTTTCTTTTTTCTTCTGTTGCCAATGTGATAAGTAAATGATAAATGATATGGCTTTACAAGAATGATAATGATAAGGAATGTTGTGTTGTTGTATTTGCTAATTCTTTTGCATCAAATGCAAAAATTGCATATATCAATGCTTGCGAGAATATTACAGCGTAAACAAACAAAAATTGATACATATGTGTAATTGCCTGAAAATGTTTTTTTTTTCTTTTTTTAAAGGTCAAAGTTGAAAGTTAAACAAAAATTGTGCGTATAAAAGTTAAAATTTGATGCAATGTTTTGGTGTAACCTACACGTCAAACACGTCAATTTGTATGTCATATGCTAAATATGTATTACCTCACGTCAAACACGTATAATTCATATGTCATATGCTAAATATGTATTACTTCACGTCAAACACGTACAATTTATATGTTATATGCTAAATATGTATTACTCACGTCAAACACGTACAATTTATATGTTATATGCTAAATATGTATTACTCACGTCAAACACGTACAATTTATATGTTATATGCTAAATATGTATTACCTCACGTCAAACACGTATAATTCATATGTCATATGCTAAATATGTATTACTTCACGTCAAACACGTACAATTTATATGTTATATGCTAAATATGTATTACTTCACGTCAAACACTTACAATTTATATGTCATATGCTAAATATGCATTACCTCACGTCAAACACGTACAATTTATATGTCATATGTCATATGCTAAATATGTATTACTCACGTCAAACACGTATAATTCATATGCCGTATGCTAGATATATCTATCTAAATGATCAGTTCTTGACTATATTATAATCAATTTATAACTGTGATTTCTAAAATATTAATAAATTAATAAAGATTACCTAATATGCGATAATTAGTGATAGCTAATATTCAGTGAATAAATTTAGCTTTACAATAAATTTAAAATTTCAAACTAACAATGTCTTTTCCAGCATTATTCACATAAAGTTGTAATATAGCAAAACCAATAAAACCATAAAGGCCAACAAGTAAAAGATATGGTAGTGATAAGTCAATAATTGTTCCCAATGATAAATGCAGAATGAATCCACCACCAATTGTTAAGCATAAAAGTTTGCATGATCTTTGCCAATTATTGATGAACCAAAATGTGGAATTAAACCGATAGATATTGGTGTTAATGCTGCAATTGGTGGTATACCGATCAGATCTTTATCCGAGAAGATAAATCCTGTTAATAATCCCTGAAATGATAAGAATACAATGATAAGAATAAACAATACTGATAATAATAATTAAAAAAGAAAAAAAACATTCTGA